CTGGACTCGATGACCTCTCGAGGTCCCTTCCAGTCCTATTATTCTATGATTCTATGATAAGGCGGCCCGGCTAGCAGGCTTCTGCCAGGCCTTGCAAACTCACATCTCTGCCACCACGAGCCTGGGCAGGCTGAGAGTCAGGCGTTGAGCACCCTGAAAATTCCATGTGGGTGCCCCCTCCCGCTGTGGCAGACCCCCCCCCATTGCTTTATGAAATTGTCTTGTGAATATAGATGTATGTATGAGCCAGTGTCATTAGTCAAAGGTACAGGCAGTCCCCGGGTTACGTACAAGATAGGGACTGTAGGTTTGTTCTTACGTTGAATTTGTATGTAAGTCGGAACTGGTACATATTGTAGGGGAAACTCTAGCCAAACATTTCTCCAGAGCTCAGTTTTATTCTCCCACACCTCACTTCCCTCAGTCCTTTATTCTCAAGCTGAGGTGTCTGCTGAGAAAAGCCGCTCCGCGTCTCCCTGGTCTGCTTGGGGGGGAGGGGACCCTAGCTTCGCGTCTCCCTGGTCTATTGGGGGGAAGCAGCTAGTGCGGGGTTGCCTCACCCCGTTTGTAAGTAGGGCTCCGATGTAAGGTGGATCCATGTAACCCGGGGACTGCCTGTACTTTGGACAAAATCCCTTGTTACCCATCCATTGGAACTCTATGCTCTGCTGGATCTGTGGCTCTTAGGGTGTGTCTAGACTACATGCCTCCGTCGACGGAGGCACGTAGATTAGCCAGATCGGCCGAGGGAAATGAAGCCGCGATTAAAATAATCGCGGCTTCATTTCCCTCGGCCGATCTGGCTAATCTACATGCCTCCGTCGACGGAGGCACGTAGATTAGCCAGATCGGCCGAGGGAAATGAAGCCGCGATTAAAATAATCGCGGCTTCATTTCCCTCGGCCGATCTGGCTAATCTACATGCCTCCGTCGACGGAGGCACGTAGATTAGCCAGATCGGCCGAGGGAAATGAAGCCGCGATTAAAATAATCGCGGCTTCATTTCCCTCGGCCGATCTGGCTAATCTACATGCCTCCGTCGACGGAGGCACGTAGATTAGCCAGATCGGCCGAGGGAAATGAAGCCGCGATTAAAATAATCGCGGCTTCATTTCCCTCGGCCGATCTGGCTAATCTACATGCCTCCGTCGACGGAGGCACGTAGATTAGCCAGATCGGCCGAGGGAAATGAAGCCGCGATTAAAATAATCGCGGCTTCATTTCCCTCGGCCGATCTGGCTAATCTACATGCCTCCGTCGACGGAGGCACGTAGATTAGCCAGATCGGCCGAGGGAAATGAAGCCGCGATTAAAATAATCGCGGCTTCATTTCCCTCGGCCGATCTGGCTAATCTACATGCCTCCGTCGACGGAGGCACGTAGATTAGCCAGATCGGCCGAGGGAAATGAAGCCGCGATTAAAATAATCGCGGCTTCATTTCCCTCGGCCGATCTGGCTAATCTACATGCCTCCGTCGACGGAGGCACGTAGATTA